CAATTTCAACAAAATTGAAAAAAAAAAATCATCATTTAACCTTTTTTTCGTTTAATCATTATTTTAACCTTTGCTTTAGAAAAACACTTGTCAATTTTGAAAATATAAGAGAAATTTAGATTTTTTTAACAAAACTCTAAAAAAAGATTGTATTAGTTTTGAAAATGAAAAATTTGTCACACCCTCTTGCACGTGTAAGTGCATGTGTCAGTCGGTGCATGCGCACACGTGGCTATGTGAGTGCCTCTGCGCGCGCTCGTGCACGCTATAGAACGATAGAGTTATTAATTGAATTCTCATTTTAATTTTATATAATTTTTTATTTATGTATGATTTTCATTTTTAATGAGATAATGCTGTATATATTTTTAAAAAATTGATATCATTTTAATTTTAATTTTATTTTATATTTAATGAAAAAAATTATGAAAATTAGTTATTGATAAGTTTTGCCAACCATTGCAATAAAAATTTCAAGAACTATTTAATACTATGTGCTTGACTTTTATCATAGATAACTTATTCAATAGTTATGAGATCCATTGTTAAAATATTTTTTTAGAAATTTTTTTTATAACCAAACTATTAAAATTTATCACATAAATAGTTTTTACTTTAGTATAGTTCAATTTCATAGATATAAAGATTTTGTAATAATTGAGCATTATTACTACTTTGATATATTTACTACTATATCATCGATTATCATCTAAAAAAATTAAATAGTAAATTTAATGAGCAAACAATAAAGATTTTTAAACTAAGCACAACTTTAGATTCTAATGATACATTTAAATCATTTAATACTTAAAAGAAAGATAAATTTTTCATCAATTTAATGGTAATTTATATTAAAAAGGAAATTGCCCAAAAAGTTATCATATACATGATAATTAATTATTTTTATGCTATGAAAAATTAAAAATAAAAACTTAAAAAATGAAAGTACAGATTGATTTTTATTATATATTTATAAAATTAAGTATGAATATATATATATATATATATATATAAAAACATTTGATTATCATTTTTGTTTTGTCATTCTGGCTTCACCCTCCCATGCATGTTTGTATGCATATGGGTGAGGATACATACATGTGGATGGATTTTGTTAGAGTTGACAATTCAGGCGGAGATCAAATTTGAAGTATTTTAACCTAAAAAAAAAACTATATAGTCAAACCAACTCTAACTTTTTTTGATCAGATTTGAATTGGCTTAGTGAACTTTGTCAGAATTATCAACTATACATATATATAAAATTAGTAATTCTAATGATTGAACTTATTGAGACCAAATTTAAATTATTCTATTCTTTAAAAATATGTATATATATGTATAATTAAATCTGACTTTAATTTTTTATTTTCTTGAGTGGATTTGGGTTGGTGCATTGCTATCAGCTTCAGACTTTGTGCTTATGTGACTGTGTTTGCCCTTGTGCATGCGTGCAGGCGTGTGTACTCACGCTCACGCATACACCTTGCAGGTGCAGGCGCATGTGCGTCAGCGTGTGGGCGCATGTGTGTGGGTGTGTGTATACGTGTAAGTTGTGTAATATTTGCTCCAATTTCAAGAAGTATTACATGGCTCATGATAATAATTAAGCTTTGATTTTTAAGGAGAGTATGACGTTAAAGTTTTAAAATAATAATTTTATAATAGTTAAGTTTTTAATAATTTTTTTTTAAAATCAATAATAAATATTGATTTGAACAATCATGAATTTAAAAATTTTAATTATAAATAAAACATATAAATTTTAAATTTAATTCTCAGTTTGTAATTAAGATTTTTGTTTATAATTGTTTAAATTAATATTTATAACTTATTTTTTAAATTTTTTATTAGAGACTTAATTGTAATAAATTCTCAATTGTAAGACTTTATTGTCATTCTCCTTTAATTTTATCTATATATATACACACACATTCATGTACTTTTTCTAATTAGATGTGGATCTCACGTAGTATAAAGCTAAGGTATATTTTTATTTCCAAAGGTTTTTAGGTGGACTAGTGAATATAAAGTTAATGATGAGTAATATCACCTTTTAAGTGATAAAAAAAAAAGAGATAATGTTTTTCCTTTATGAAATATTTACTATTTTAATTATTAGTTAATACAAGAATTGTAAAAAAATGTCACATAAAGTTACAAATAACTATACCTAGTAAAAAACTATAGCTAATTTTGTTTCAAAAATTACAAATAAATGTTAAGGGACCAATGTCATCTTCAGCTCATATAATAAAAACCAAAATATCATTTTATTTTATTTTATTTTATTGATTTCCTAAAATATTCTAATAGCCAATATTTATGGGATTAATGTCTCAAAAAATCTAAACACTATTTAAAATATTATCATCTCTCAATTGCTATCAAAATATCATTTTAACCATTGAATGACCAACCACCTTGCTAGTGATGGTGTTGGTAAGTAATTAAAAATATATAATTTTATTTTAATAATATATTATTAAAATATTACTTTTTAATATTTAATAACTAAAATATCATTATTATTTATAAATCTTTATCGAGAAAATACAATGTTTAATCTTTATAGTTTCAAAATATTTTACTTTTAATCTTTATAATTTTTTTTCGTTACTCTCAATCTTTTATAGTTTTTTGCCATCCATAACATTAGTCCCTCGGATCAGCAACGTTGTTAAATTTATTAAGGTGTAATTAACTTTAAATTTTGTGGGCACGTATGACTCAGCATTTGTTGAATAAAAAATGAGAAAACAAAATAAATAAGAATGACCTGTGGAAGGCGATTCAAACGCGCGAACTGGGTAGATTAATTTAAGGCAGAGGAGACGACTTGGAGATCTTGGAGATAACTCAACAGCAAAAATTTGCCAGCAATCTTGGAGATCTTGAAGCCTTGGAGCTTCCTTTACGGCACCGACGACAAAAAGCGGACGAACCAGGAATCGCAAGTAATGAAAGCAAAAATCCCAATTCACTCAACTCTTGTTCCTTTTAACAGCAAAAACCCAATTTAGCATATATACTTGCATTCATGGTAGGCTAAGACTGAGGATTTGTATTTGGCAAACTCAATTCAAGAAAACCCAATTTTGGGTAACAACGTTAAGTTCTGTCAAGATAGACGAAACAGTTCAGTTGGCTAAGGGAGGATAAAAGGTAGAAAAGGACAAGAGATATAAAGAAGGTGAAAATGGAGGCACCCAATGTGATTGACGAGCTAAGGATTCAAAGGCTGCCTCCAGAATAAGGTCGCTTTTCCTCCAAGAGGACAGAATCAGGTTGAAGACGACGGAATCAGGAGAAGACGACGGAACGGAACGGCTATATCTTCAAATTCTAAACAATGCCTACTTATCTCCAATTCTTCTCCTCTGCCATAGTCTACCCAGTTCGCGTTCGCGCTTGCGTCTGAATCGTCTTTCACAGCTAATTTTAATTTCTTTTTCCTTTTCTCATTTTTTATTCAACAAATGTTGAGTTATAGGTGGACAAAATTTAATACCTCAGTTAATTACATCTCTCAGTGGCAGAATCAGGATTTTGGGTCGAGGCAATAGCAAAGCCTGATTCTCGATATAAGGAAGATAATTTTATCACTTTCAAATTCTTTTTTTTTTTTCCTTCCTTTTCTTTCTTTCTCTCTCAGTTCAACTTTTAATTGTAAATTTATAAATACAATAAGCTAATAAAAAATATTTAACTAATTTGTTTTTAAGTCTTAAATCTTTATTCATTATTTTTTTTTCTTTTTACTAATCCCTGAATAATATTTAGGATAAGAACAACATCACTCTATTTTAATCAAATTATATTTTTATTTTTAAATGATTAATAAATAATGTTGCTATCTAGATATAGTAAAACTATGAGTTAATATTCACAAAGCTTTGAATAAAAAAATTGAATAAATTTAGATTAAGAAAATAATATTGAAATGAATTTAAAATTTAAAATATAAAAATAAGGAGATGTAAAGTATAATAAGTTAAGGATGTAAATTATAAAATATAAAAATTTATCACCCCAAACATGTCATTTTTTTTAAGTGAGGGGTTGCATGTGACTCTGCCACTAATGAATTTAGCACTGTTAATAATGGAAGGAACTACTGTTATGAATGACGAAAATTGTAGGTATTGACAACAAAAAATAAAAAAATAAAAAATCTAAGAACTAAAAACAAAATATCTTAAAACTGCAAGAATCAAGTATTATATTATCTCTTTTTTTTTTCTCTAAAATTTACAAGTCTTTCTTTAAGAATTCACAGCTCAACTAATGCGTTTAAGATATATAGGTAAATGCGTTATTGACATGGTTGAGTTGTAAAATAAAATTATATGATAAATTATAAATATTTCTTTTAAAATTTATAAATTCTCCTTCAAAAATTATAATCAATTGCTCTATTGAAGATTTATGAGTGCTTTTTTTTCCACACCATTTGAATTATAAATTAAAATAGTATTATATTTCATAAGTATTTTTTCAAAATAGTATATTTTAATCAATATTAATTTTCTTGTACAATATTTATTTATAAAAAATATAATATCTATAGTTTAATCAAATTTTATTTTTAATTCTTATAATTTTTTTCAATATTCTTAATCTTTACAGTTTTAATAAGATTATATGACATCTATAACTCATATCCATATATTTTCAATGTTTATTAACAAAACTTAAAAAAATTATAAGAACTAAAAATAAAATCAGATACAATTATAAGATCTAATGATTGTGTTTTTTTTTATGTATAATTTTTTTAAAACTTTTTCTATAATTGTCTCTATCATCTAACAGTAATAAAAATGCTGTTAACCTTAGATTATAGAGTTAGCCCGAATTGTTCACAGCTTCGTATCAATATATATATATATATATATATATATATATTTTTGGATTTATCTGGTCATTCCATTACTCTATCATTACTTAAATTTCAAGGAAAGGCTAGTGAGGACATGCAAGGGACTATACATCTTACATTAATTAGTAAACCCTAGGCGTTATTATTCATTAGAGAAAAGAGAAAACGTAAATCAGAGAAAAAGAAGAAAACAAAAAAGTTACAAGTTCAAGCCCACAGGGCGAGAATTGACATAGCAGTAGATCCAAGAGTTAAGGCAACAAAAGAAGCCTTCTTCAACCTTGGATCTGAGCTCATGAGCTTGCTGTGAAAGAAATCTACTGCAATTAGGTCGACCAGAGCCATGTAAATCAGAATCCCTGAAGAAATTGAACCCAATAAGCCTTCCATGATCAAAGCTTTTGGATTGCTATCGTCATAACCTGTCAATGAAAATAACATCATCCCCAATATAATCCCCATCGGTGTCGTCACTGAGAACATGAAGCACATGTAGGCCGTTGTCCCAAAGCTAAACCCTGCCTGTAAAATTTTTTCAATATGAATCAATTTATCAGATTCTTCAACAATAAAGCCAACACATGACGCGTGTGCGTGTGAATATATGTATGTATGCATGTATGCTTGTAGAAATCCCAATGATGACTACTCTTCAATTTTGGACACTCAAAAGGCTTTTTGACTGAAGATTGTTTCAGTGTTTCCTTTCATTCAGTTTCTTGTTAACTTGTGAAGAGAGAAACAGAGGAGATGAAGCTACCAAGTTCGTTCCTTTCAATTTCTCATATCTCTCTCTTTCTTTTTGTTTTTTTTTTTCTTTTCTTTGGTCAGATTTACAAGAAATCAAGGAAGAAGAAAGTGGAGAAGATTCACAAAGGACTTTTGCTCATTGTCACTGGTATTTATGTTCACAGAATATGGTTTATCCTTTGACGATACTCCATTTAATTATTCTGATATCTCATTGATCATTGAATTATTCATCTAGACTTCAAGTTCCTTCTTGCTTTTTGTTTTAGTCTCAAACCATTAGATAGACGTTTGGACAAACAAACGCAACTAACTATTAATTAACACATCAATATAACTGCTTAATTTAATTAATGTATTTATCAAATTAACTTAATTTCCTTAATTTTAACAAATTGATCAATCTACACAGAATCGCCCCATAGATACGCACACGCACCCATTTGTTGCAAGTGTAGGGCTTTACAGACCCAAATCAAATGAGAAAAGGAAATAAAGCACACGTTTTCTTCAGTATCAATCATTGTGCCAGTATCAACACAAAATCATAGCATCTATATTTAATTAAAAATTTTGAAAAATTTCTTTGCTCATGACTGCACAGTGATCCCAAGTTCCCAAGTCCAAACAATCCATTATTTAATATCACTTCACCTCTAATAAAGTAAACCCATGAATTATAATAAGAAGTCCCCAAATTATAATTATAATCATTAATTTACTTACAATGAGTATTATATTCATGTCAAACAGACAATAAACAAGCTGAAAATTCGGTGACAGATGATAGTCTGAGATGGTAATTGGTAAAAGCAAGAAGATAACGAACCTGAGCAACGCAACCGCCGAGACCCATCCCTTCGAAAATTTGATGAAATGCCAAAGCAGCTACGAGAGGCCTAATGGTGCATACATTCTGAGACATTCCCATTGTCACTCCGATTATCACAGAATGGAAGATTATTCCGATTTCCAGAACCTGCGACACCAGTCTCTGCTTCAATTTCGCCATTTCCTCCGCTTGCCGTTCCCTTTCGCAACTCGCTCCCAACTCGGCCTTCAATTCGCCCGATTCCAGCTTCTCCTGTGCTCCGACCAGCGCGTACTGCGTCTGCGCGTGCGAGTGAGCGTGCTCCACATGCGAGCTCGCCGCGATGTCCACGAACAGAGCCATCAGCGCGCCAATTAGCGTGACCAGGCCCGCGAAGGGGAAGTCCTTCCATGGATGCATTGAAGCCACCTGGCAATCGGAGAGTGCGGCGAAAGCGTCGGGGAGGACGTGGACGAGAGAGGTGGAGAGGATTACACCGGCGGCGAAGCACTTAATCACTACGATTGCCTTATCGTAGAGCGATTTCCCTTGGAAATATCGGGCTAATAGCACCGGCAACGACATGCCTAACATACTGGTGAAGAAAATCACGAAGATCGATATCACTTTCAGGTGAGCCGCCGCTTCACCGTTTCTGCAAGCGGCGGCTCGAGCCGTATCGGTCACGCATGCCGCCATGGACGGTGGACTTCAAGCCTTTGTTGTCTCAGACTCAGAGAAAGGGAGAGGGAGGGAGGGGGTAGAGAGTGAAGAGGATGAAGCCAGGGAAGTCCCAGTGTGAGAAGAAGAGGAAGAAGAAGAGGAGGCCATATAAATAACGTGGGGCCACTTTGGCAGAAAAATTTCTAACTTTGAGATAAGTTGATTTTTAATGGCAACTTTTAATTTAGAGACTTTAAACGAAAAAATTGTGATGCTGTCTTCGTGTCATTCAATTTCTTTGGTCAATAACACTCTAGACGCTGTTTGGTTGAAGTGTTTTTCAGGGAAGGGAAGAAGGGAGCATAATTTCTCCGGACTTCAAACAAAAAAGATTGAATTAAGTTGCACAAATATCCATCATGTGATCGGCCAAAAATATCTAGTAGTTTAAAATAAAAAAAAATAAAAATACTCATGACGTTGTCAAAATTACTATAAAAGTGATCAAACCATTAACTTACCCTAGCGCTGTTAATTTTTCAGTGTTAAATGCTAATTGTATTGCCTACTGTGTTTTCTACGTGTCAATTTTTATTGACATGAATTAAAAAAGAAGGTAAAAATACCCATGAAGTCATTAATTAAGAGCATCTAATAGCCTAAAGTGAAAAGAAGAGCAATAATACTGATAATATTACCAAAGTTGGTGCAAAAATGACCAATCCATCATATCCTTTAAATGTTGACTGTTTAATTAACACTTAAGTAGAAGTTGATCTTTTTTTGCTGATGTGGATGAAAAATATTTCTAGGTAAAATTCTACGGAGGTTGATAAGTTATTGTATGAGTACTCATAACATTACTTTAGTCGGTACAATAGTGACTAATCCATCAAAATTCTTGCCATGTGATTTCATTCCATCACCACATATCCCACCTCCTTCCTCCTTCCCTCTCCACTCATTTTTTTTTATCTACAAGATTTGAGATTCAACACAATGAGATAGGTTATACACAATCAAATATTAAGAACGAAGAGGCTATGACTTACTGTAAAGAATGCAAACACTTCATGAAGGAGGTTGTCTCTGCTTGTAACACCTTCATGACTACATACACCAACTACCTTAAAAACATTGGCATAACCTTATGTGAAAAACTAGTCAACTTTTACTTAAATATCAGCTAAATTGTCAACATTTAAGAAATTCGATAGATTGATAACTTTTGCACTAATTTTGATAACATTATGGGTATTTTTGCTCTTTTCTCACTTTGGACTATTGGATGCTCCTGGTTGACGACTTCATGGGTATTTTTATCCCTTTTTTAGTCCATAACAGCAAATATTGACATGTAGGAAGCATATTCAGCATTTAATGTAATGTCCACCTTGACATTACCAAAACACATAACACCGTTCTAATAACTAGGAGTAATTAATTCCTTATATAATGTTATCACAACATAAGAATGTATAAATCAAGTTTAAAAGATTTGAAATTTCAAGAAACCCTTTTTGAAAAGGTGTTTGAGCTTAAAATATAGTTTAAAACAAGTAAAAGGAAGTAACAAAAGCATGGGAATAAATCAGAGCACTTCTAAACATTAGAAGGGGCAAAATGGTCATCCCTTAAAATGCCTTATTTGCTGTAGTGGATGGCACAGAGAGGAGAGTCCTCTCACTGTGTAGTATGCTACAATGCACATGCCCTGTGTTGCAGTGCACCCTTACCATCATGACAACAAATTGCTGCCATGATAGCACTTCAGGTTTAACTTTCAAAGCACATCATTTCACCATCCGACATTTGATTTGAACAATTTAAGTGTTCATACATAGCTTTTTAAGCCACCTAACCATTAACACTAGTTTTAAAATTAAACACTTCCTCAATTAAAAGTTGGACATCCGAACACAAAATCATCCTTTTTCCTTTTAAAATGCACACAAGGGTGTTTAATCTCACCAACCAAGTGCCATTTATTGAATAATATATTTTGATGATTACAAAACTAAGAGAAGAGGTTTGTGTTATGTGTTCAAATACATAAAGATTCATGGATGAAAACAAAACCTTCAAGAGCATGAAGAATCAATAGAAGAAGAAGATTTATATGATAAGTTATTTATTTCTTTTAGAATAATGAGAGCTTAATCACATGTTATCAATCTTAAAATGAATGCATTATGTTAGGCTCATTAGTCTTATTTATGCATAATAAAACTTGTCTTAGTAAATTCAAGCTTGGGAGTAATGTCATTCTAGATTGAATTGGATCATAGAAGTTGAGTTTTTTTTTTTCTGAATGATGTTTCACATGTGATTCAATATGGTCCCATGTGTGATATGTCACTTGAGGCACACTAATTGATGTTTCATGCTTGATTGAGTAGTGATTCATGTGCGATTTGTCACTTGTGTTTATGTGATGCCTTGTTAAAACTTCTGTGTTCCAATTCACGTAAAGCTACCCTTATGTACGCACGCTTGAATTGTCACATTTTGTTCCTTTGCACTTTGAGCAGTGTCATTTTAAGCCTAAAAGGGAAAGTGTTCACGCATGTTTTGTCACTAAGTTTATAGAACACATTTTGTCTAAGAGAGTCTTAAGTCATTTCAAGCCTATTTCATCTTGTGAACTCATGTGATCTATCACTTATTAATCTAAGTCTTTTTAATCATGCAATCCTCACTTAAATGCACATGAGTTCCACGCATGATATGTCTTCTAGAATGGCTTGGTTTTATAACTAGCCATTTCACACGTGTGTGGTTGAGTGTTCCCCATGTGATTTGTTATCTAGAATGGTTTGAGTTTTGTAACCAACTATTTCATACATGATAGTCAGTTGGTCCCATGCGTGATTCGTCACACAAATTGGCCTTGGCATTCTGCTAGCCAATTCACGCACGAGGACCTAAGGGTCACATGTAATATCTCAAATTTTAATCCCTGAATTAACTAAGCTTAATCATGATAATTAAGTAAATTAATGTGGTGTGTGGCTAGGGAGGTCTAATAACTAGTTTTGATTGTGTTTCAACCTAATTATGGGTCTTATGTGGGGTCAGGCCAATCGGGCATTGAAAGGACAAGAAAATGAAGATGAAGTATTGCTGTGCCACATGCCACGGCGTGAAATACATCCACCATGACATATTAACATAACTAAAGTGAGAAGGGAACCTCTTTATGCCATGCGCCACTCTTTTTTACAGATTAAGAGTCATGAACTGAAATAAAAAAAATAGAGAATAAGGAAGAAGAAATGAAGAACCACTAGGAGCTCTGCTAAGGTTTACTCCTTAATAATATTAGGAGTACTTTACACTCATTTCTTCTTATCTCTTCTATATTTATGAAATTTATGGTTAAGTTTAATAATGGAAGGTGATTTTCAGTCCATATAGATTATGGGTTTGAATCCATTGACTCAAATGGAGTTAATGAGAGTAGAATTGAGTATCTAAACTTAGAAATAATGAGTTTTAGGATTTTTGATTGTCAGACCCCATTAATATGCAAATTTAGCATTTATGAGGGTTGTTGGAAGAGTGTAATGATAGTAATGGGAGTTTAATGGTTCATCAATATTATTAAGGACTAAAGAAGTTAATAAACTTAATGGGTAAACCAAATGGTGAAATTGATGTTGTTAGGAAAATGGAAAAGTGAAAATGTGAATTGATAGTGTGCTCTTGATAATGTTAATGAAGGATAGCTTGGTTAATTATAGATTAAGCTTTTAGACACCAATTTAGCTTGGGACTTCAAGCTTGGGAGCTTAGAGTATTAAGAGGTAAACCTTTGACCTTTTAAATGTTTAATGTAACTAGGGAAATCATGTTTTGAGTAGTTATAAGTTAATTGTATTGTAATATAAGTGTTTAGAATGACAATTGTGTTTTATGAATGTGGATAACATGTTATGAATTCGTCTGTTTATTTAATTGCTTCGGTTTGAACTATAAATGCAAAGAGATTGCCAAATGAGTTTTGAGTTCTATAATGCTAGTTAATTAAGTGTTGATAATGATTGAGAATGATAATGATGAATGTGTTATGATCGAAAGTGAGAATATATGTGTTTATGTGAAATGAAACTTAATGCTCAATTGGGTAGCGCATGATTGTAAGCCCAATGTGTTGATTTATAATAGTAAAATAATGAGATTGTGAAAATAGTAAGTATCGAACATGACATGATCAATGGGCAAGAGTTTGCCTGAGGATTGGGAGTAGAGAAAAATTCATATGATATTTAGGTTGCCCTCCGATGCATGGGGATATAGCCTTATCCCACAATTTATTGAGGGATTGTCCCAAAGTTTGTTGAGGGACTAAAACCTAACTTTTTCTATCAGTTTATTGAGGAGAATAACTTAGGGTATATGACACCCTAAGGATTCGAAAGTGGAGGAAAGCATGGTCCAAGAGTGAGTCATGTGATCTTTAGGTGGTCCAATCATATGAATGAAGCCTTATTAAGTGTTATAATCCACGATTTTAGTCGAAGGAAATAAGGAGAGAATAAGATTGGTTGATTATTACTAATGTTATTATATAACGTGTCTCATGTTTGAGTTATAGCAAGTCGTGTTAATATATTGTGTCATGGTCACATGTCTGAATGTCTTGTGAAAATGTACTTAGTCTTCGTGAGATGAACATGTGTTAACTAGAGTGATACGTTACGATATGTGTGTAAGCATGTTTTAATAACTTTGTTTCATATGCATGTGTTTTTTTACAATTGATATATAACTGCATAGGGTAGGTTTTACCTTTATTACTGAGTGGCTAGACTCATCCCTTTCATTTAACATTTTACAAGCTCTAATTCTGGTGTAGAGAGGGAGAAAGCTTGGGAGGTTTAAGAATTAGCAAATTCCTATTGTGTGCCTCTATATTAAGTTTATTATTTTATGTAATAGAATATCATTGCTAATTCTAGGATGCATTTTTTTTTTGGTTTACACTTACACTATAAAGTTGTTGTGTTGTTTGGAACATATTTTAGGCACTAAGGTGTGATTATGATTAATAGTATATGTTTATAGGGCCATAATACTAGTACAAGTATAGAAATGTTATTTTAAATATGTTATGATATATTTTGATGCAATGCAAATTACC